CAGTGAATGAAGCTTATTTTCAATGCTTGAAATTTTTGACCGATGCTCGAAAAATTATTCACCGGTTCCAATCTCTAGTTTCAAAGCCTACAGAATCAGAAGCAAAATTTTTAGTTTTTATTATATGCGAGGATTGTTGGCTTGTGTAACAGAAATTATATATACTACGTGCATGCGGGCGTAAATTTGTTGTGATGCGGAATGGAATTGATCAATAATTTTACAATTTTAAATCATGTGGATTGTGAAATTGCATTTTTGATATTCTGTAAATCCTTATCGCAATTTTTACTCTTGCGCAATGATATACGTATTAAGATAGAAGTATTGTTTTCTTGTCATATCTTCATAATGTAAACTCTTGTTATAGTGAACTCCTGATATAGCAAAGGCGCTATAACTTATATCAAGAGAATGAATGATATATATATTTCCTACATTAAGTTGAAGTTTAATTCAAGACTCTTCACAATATCATGAGTTCATTATAACAATAATATTTATTGCAATGGTAGTTTGGTTAGAAAATATGACAAGAAAACAATACTTCTATCTCAATATATCATTGTGCAAGAGTAAAAATTGCGATAAGGATTTACAAAATATCAAAAATGTAACTTCTGCATGAATTATAATTGGGAATTCCACATGATTGGAATCGAGATCATCAATGCTAAATCCCCTTCTGTCTTGACTTGTTTAACTTATTTAGTTCATGTAAAATATTCTTTTTAGCATTTCAGTGTGTATGCATAGACCAGTTGTTTAGTACATATTATTCTTGGCGTATTATTTTTATGTAAGCGGATTGGAAAAATTCTAGACTCTTCGCTTTATTGAGATTGATAATTTAAGATATTTATTTTGATGTGCTGCCGATTTATGCATTATCTTTATATAAAGAGATTTAGGTTTCTAAATATCCTGCACCGTACGTAAAAACTTTAATTAATAAGGGTTAGTTAACACACTGAAGATAAACTAAATTTGTCATCTCAATAGCATGCTACTGCGTACATATTGTTCTTTGTTTATTGTTTTTATGCAAAGAGATTGAGACCTTCGCTTATTGAGATCGATAATTTAGGAAAAGTGCTACTAGTTTATGCATAATCTCTACATAGAAATATTGAAGTTTTTAAATTTCCTGCACCACAATCTGCAAGTAAATATTCATCTTTACTAAAGAACTTATTAGCATTATTAAATAGTGGAGTAGATTTGTATACTGTTGAATCTGTAACTGATCCCAGCCATCCAAAGTTTGCAAATCGAATATATTTTAAATCATCACAAACTAATTGCACTGTCAAAGCATATCGTTTCTTT